AAGATTAGGGAAGGAACCGATGCTCATTTTCTCTCTGTTTGTGTGTGTTTTTGTGATTTAGTTTGTGTGCTGTAGGTGAATTGTAATAAAGGTGCAGTTTGATTCATCCAGAGGCTATAAAGGCAAAACATTATACATGGAAAATATATCAAAAATAACATCAACAGGTTTCAAATTCAACTTATTAACACAAATTGGGTTTGTTTCATTTAGATGATGGTGTGATAGACTGCTGTAAACCAAAACGGCGTGGTGCCTTTGTTTAGAAATGAGCACCAGCATTCCAGCAGAGAAAGGGAATTGTTTAATCTCATACTGTAAGACTTCCACCCTAATAGCATTTGTTCTTCAATTGGAACTTAATCTGGGTAAATGGTGCTTAAATGTTTAAATCACATTTACAGGCTGTCAACTGATCTGATGTTCTTCACATGGTCACCCTTCGTTTGAATGAAAATAAATTGATGGCAAATGAGGAAAGATTCTGCAAAGTGGGCAGAAGAGACAAATTGCATTGTAGCTCCCCCAAGTGGGCATTGAGGGCAAATAGATAAATATTTGGAGCCTTTGAGAAGTAGCAAGGTTTTCAAAAGAGGCCTTTGACAACTTATTTCATGGACAAGTTGATAAACAGGGTAACCAAAAAGTTAAAGGAACTGCATCAAAGACTGAGGTCACTATTCTTCAAATAATAAATGCAGTCTGGGTTGCTTCTTCAGACCACTCATGTAAAAAAATGAGCTGCTGACATTTCATATATCAAAGTCCTCATCATTATTATCATCATTACCATAATCATCACTTTCATTTAACACAGGGGATGGTGGTTGAATATGACTTTACAAATTATAACATTTACAAAATGGCTTCAATAAAGAAGACAATTTATTTTTATTTAACATACAGCAATTTCATAATTCAAAAAAAAAAAAATGTCTGTTCTTTTCTTTCATTTAAAACCTAAAATATAATGACTGATTTTTCTATTATCAGTCAGGTTAGAACCCAGCATGAGATTTTTAAGACCTATAAGGAGCACTATAAAACAAGTTAGTTACACAAAAACATTGAACAAATACATTATAATACAGAATTGGTATCTGCAACCTGTCAAGATGAGGGAGGCCATTGTGTTTTTAATCCAGAAGAGGAAAGATTATTATTATTTTTTATGTTATTCAATGATGCTTCAAACAAAATCAAAGGTACAAACTGTTTCTGGCTTGGGCATAGGTGTTCAAGAACACATTAACTGGGGACAGAGAACTGTCCCTTATTTTATTTCTTTTTATTGTCTTGTCTATTGTTGAAAAGACTGCCTTATTAGGAATATTTAAAACTGTTCAGTCAATTAAAATTTATTCAAATTTAAATCAGAAATACTTTATTAATCCTAAAGGGAAAATAGATCATGCCCCATAAAAAATCAAAAGGTCTTTTGAAACTTGTATATGACAGTTCATCCATTATGGTATCAGTATCCCAAAACTTTTCATATGAATTTACTTCCTCCATTGCAATCAAAGGCTGATGGGGTTTATTATTTGTCACCAACTAGTTTAGTACAGACCAGTTTCATTTTTGCCGAGAAGAGCGTGATAAGTCTGATGTATAGAAATATCTATTCTGTTCGGCATTCAAGATTTAAGCTCAGACTAAATCCCAAAGTAGTGACAAATAATGCTTCACCTTCCATTTGATGTTCCTTATATGTGCAGGAGTGTAAATTATTTGGTTTCTCTAGCAAGAGACACAAAGATAGCTTAAACAGAAGAGACCCACTATCAGTCTGGGACTGTTTGTATTCCTGTGATGTTGGACTTGAACCATACCAGCATCTCTCTAAGGGCCAGGTTTCCTCTAAGGGCCTTTTGTGGGTTAAGAACATGCCCAGCAACATCTGCACTTCCATTTATAAGTTCTTATAAAAATTAGAATGGACCAAAGGGCGTCCCTCTCATTCTAATGTCCTTCTATAGGGTGCTAACACCTGACTGCATCTTCGTGTTAGTATGTAATAGAATGAGAGCCGTTAATAAAATGGGAACAAAAATACCCTCTATTATCTCTATTATTCCTGGAGGAAACTGAACATTCCAGAGACAACAGAAGAACTACAAAAAATATCAAATACTCCTTCCAATGGCTCATCAGGGCAGACTGATGCCTTTGAGCAAGTATTACATTTCTAGGAGTCTGTATACTGTATCCTCGATGACTTTCATTTTTATCCCTGGTCTATCAAAACAGCCAACTTACTGCTGTTCTCTGAAGTCTTATTGAATACGTTTTTTGTGACCAGGGCAAAATCGGTCTGCTGTTACTATCATCATTGCAACTCCTCCACAATTCTTCAATTATTTTCACTCCTATCTATATTATTACTAATCTTTTCTACATTGTAATGAATTTAATATATTTGAATAATGAAGGAATTAATAAAATGCATTTTGAACAAATAAATATGTGATATAGTTCATTTTATTCCTCCTTTTCGTTATACCCCATTTCAAATATACATATTTTAAAATATATCTGTTTCACAATATATGCATATATAACCTTGCATTGTACCCTCCTTGTTTTAGTGAATCTGCCCAGGATGTTTCTTGACAATAAATTGTTTTTGTCTTTAAACATTATTTGAGCTTTTTGAATTTAAAAAAACAATAATTTTTATGAAAATGTTATTACTGTGCTCCCTGAATTCTGTTTGGTTGTTTTTTCTTGCAGTGTGCATATAGGCTGTAGAGTGCTTTTATAAATATATCCCCGAGACACACAGGATGACGGATATTGCAAAAACAATGAAAAATGTATCTCTTCATTGCCCTGAGATTAACTACCCCTCTTTACAACCCTGCAAGAATAGCTGAGGGTATGATGATTGTGACAAGCAAGGAGGACAAAAATATGCTCTTTCCTGTTTTTTCTCTGTGTCATCAGTTGTTTGTTACAGTGTTGAAGTCAATTACTCTGAACATTTTGTGACAATGATTGGATGACAGAGAAATCAAAAAGACAATGTCATTAACTCTATGCTCAGGTTAACAATCTACATGTTTTTCAGAGACCGATTTAACAAAGCAGATTTAACAAACTCAGACTTAAATCCTCAACTCTATATTGACCTAGCCTAAGGATGGAAATTATTTTTTTTTGTTTTGTTTCACAACAGCTGGTGTGAGTAGGTTCACTCAAAGTTGAGCGTGTGCATTACAACTTTGAAAAGTCATCATCATCAGCTGCTAAAATCACATTTCTAGTTGCAACTGTAACAATAGATTTCCTAAAAGACATTTTGCAGAAACAGAAATTATTTTAATTAATTTAATAAAGTTTTGTATACCTAAAAAAGTGGCCATTTAGACATATATCAGCTTGACTGAATATGTATTTATGATATCTGAAATACATTTCATCCTAATCATAATAATACAAATTATGACCAGAAACAATCAGAATATCCATCCATCCATCCATTTTCTTACACGCTTGTCCCAAGTGGGGTCACGAGGGGTGCTGGTGCCTATCTCCAGCAGTCAACGGGCAAGAGGCGGGGTACACCCTGGACAGGTCACCAGTCCATCGCAGGGCAACACAGAGACACACAGGACTAACAACCATTCATGCACACACTCACACCTAAGGACAATTTAGAGAAGCCAATCAACCTAACAGTCATGTTTTTAGACTGAAAGAGTAACAATACCCACAAATGTAATAAAACAACTGAACATAGTAAAAATATGCAGCATTTAATGTATAATCCCTCAAACATAATAAGCTTCCCACAAATGTAATAGTCACTGCCTACTAAAAGATGGTAGAGTTTTTGAGTATAAACAGCCTGTTTATGGTGATGTGGGGCTTAGTATTATGACTTGAATGCTTGTTCTTTTGTGCTGAATACCATTGTGCTCTGACAACAGAGTGATAGTGGTTGAACATCATCCTTGAGAATTTTCTGGTAGAGATAATGAAACCATCTGATTCACTTCGAAGGCAAAAATCGTAACAACACCCCTACGCTTTAAACTCTAATCTGTAGGCCTCCCAGATGAATTATAGGTGCTCTCTATGAATTTAGGTTATATTTTTCATGATTCTTTTCTTGAACCCAGAATCTTTTTCAAATATGTTTTAGAAAGAAATGTACGAAAAAAAATAACTTATTTATTTCAGTTTAATATGGTATAAAATTCAGAATTCTGACTTTAATCACAGAACTCTGACCTTAATCTTAGAATTCTGACTTTTTTCTCAGAATTCTGACTTTAATCACAGAATTTTGACTTTAATCTTAGATTTCTGACTGTTTCTCGGGATTCTGACTTAATCACAGAATTTTGACTTTAATCTCAGATTTCTGACTTTTTTCTCAGAATTCTGACTTTAATCACAGAATTCTGACTTTTTTCTCAGAATTCTGACTTTAATCTCAGATGTCTGATTTTTTTTCCTCAGAATTCTGACTTATTTCTCAGAATTCTGACTTTAATTTCAGAATTCTGACTTTAATGTCAGGTTTCTGATTTTTTTCCTCAGAATTCTGACTTATTTCTCAGAATTCTGACTTTAATTTCAGAATTTTGACTTTAATGTCAGGTTTCTGACTTTTTTCCCCATATTAAACTGAAATAAAATAAAAAAATCAGTTAACTTTTTTATTTTTTCAGTGGCCCTAGATGAAGAAAAAAAGTATATGTAAGGAAAAAAACAATGCATAGGGCCCTACTGTGCATTTTGTGTGTGTATAGGGGGAATATCTTCATCATAATTTAGGAAACTATTGTAGAAACAAAATCATAGAATGCTGACCTTAAATGAACTGGCATTCTGGCTAGTATGATCAAATAGGCAGAAAACAAAATACACAAAGAATAAACGTCCTATGGACCTTTTTGCAAACTTGCTCTCTATGGTTCCCATGTGGTGAACCTGCTCAGATGGTCCAGGCATTGTGATGCTGTCTGACTCCGTGACGCTGTTTATCAGCATCCTCTCAGCTGCTGCCATTTTTCTGCTACTGGCTAACTTGCTAATCGAGAGCTCTCCATCTTCAGGAGGAGGCAAAGAGGGCTGCCAACAACAATAAGGGAATTTGAATCCGAGGCGAAACCTTTCCTGGAGGATTGGGGGTTTCTCTAGTAAAGAAGACAGTCGTTAGAAAGGCGATACGATGTCTGATTTTGACAGTAATCCGTTTGCAGACCCGGATTTCAGCAATCCCTTCCAGGTAGCTAACATGGCTAGCATGGTTGCTGCCCATTGAGCCCACATTATTTACCTTAGCACCAAGGCTAATAAGCTAGACAGACAAGAAGCTCCTCCAGGAGTGTCAAATGCTATCTTATTTAATGATAATATAATGGTTTAAGATACGTTATAAAGTTATATCTCAGGCGATATTGCCGTAAATAACGTAATAACATCTGCAGTTGTATATGTATGCTAGCTGTGTAAAGTAGCTTTAACCGTCGCCTGTAAATATTTGCATAAAGCTACTTTTTTTAGAGGAGAATCTTATTTCTCATCTTTATTTAAGTTTAATGTCCGTTGCAACATTTTTTTTTCTCCAATTGTAGATGGGAGGTAGGCCGTAACAACTGGAAGAGCAGAGATGCAATTAAGCTCAAGCGATTTTATTAACGAGATTATTACACACAGCAATCCTCTGGACACATAAGCACCTGTGGTGTCGACAGGATTTATTTTAGCGTTTATTTTAATGTTATATATCTATCAAGCATCTAACAAGCTTTGTAACTGGATCATATAAATTAGCAAAAAAGTTTAAATAAACAATTGACCATTTACATCTCGTAGATAATTAAAAAACCTTTTAAACCTCATGAATCGTTGTCGTGATGCTTTCCACTGTTTTAAAAGATGGACCTTTAGGGAAATTTTTTTTTCTAAATAAATAAAGATTGTTTAATTTACCTATAAATAATTATTGTCCTCCTTGGGCTGAATTAAATGGCCAAACTATAATAAAATATTTGAAAACCTTTGACTTAACATAAGTGATATTGTTTAACTTCAAACATGTTTTTGATCATGCATATTTGTTAATTATCTATTTTAGTTGAAGCCACTAATGTAAATGCACAATAAATGTTACTTAAGTTAGACTTAGCCCAAACTCAACAACTAAGATATACTAAATGAAACAAAAGTTTTGATTTTTGCCGTACAAATTATAGTTAAATTCTATAGGAAATTTCAGCATAAATGAACATAATTTGCATGTAAATGTTCCTCTGAATAATTTTAGACTATTTGCCCTTGAAAAGCATAAACTAGCAGATTATATTGTTAAATGAATAAAAAGAAATGGAGTATTTTTTTGTTTAACTATGTTTGTGCGTCAAAGCCAACTGTATTTTAATTAAATATTTTTAGCACTTATAGCGGTTGCAGTTACACAAATATTTATATACATTTATTGTGGATAATAAAGATGCATTGATCCAATATTGATATTAGTATTGCTCTTAATATTCTAGAAAATTCCACATTGGCTATCAGTGAAAATCGACCCGATCGATAGGGGGAGATCCTATCCAATTAATTTTGTAATACATTTAAGAAAGGTTAAAATTATGTTAAACAACTGTAAAGTCAACCCTTAATAGCCTTTGTCTTTAATTTAATAAATGCAATTAATTTGGAGCTTCACAGTTGCACATTTGTTTTCAGGTTTGGAGTTTGTCCTGTTAACATGACTTTGTTTCTCACATATACTAATCTCAAGTTGCCTTTTGATATATATGCGTACATAAAACATAGCATGCTTGCAGAAATTAGTTTATGACAGCGCCTCTTGAAAAGTTAATACTAATGATGAATACATTAAAGCAAACAGAGCTCTGGTGTTAGGGTTTCTTCTGATCTCCAAATTGAAGTCTCAGAATTAGTTCAGAAGGGAAAAAATGTGGATCAGTGCATTATAATAATCTAATTTCTGTTTGGTGAAGATGTTGACCTACGCCTAGAGGAGCACCCAAACAAGTGTATTTGCTAGGATTTTAGTTTTTTTTGGGTTATCTTTTAGAAGAAGTAGATTCCCTCCCTTAACTCCTGTTTGAACCTTTGTACCTTGTAGGATCCTTCGGTGACCCAGGTGACACGGTCTGCCCCTCCTGGTGGTCTGGAAGAATATAATCCCTTCACAGACGCTAGAACGGTTAGCTTCAGATTGTGCATGAGAGTGTGTGTGTCTGTATTTTAGAGTAACCTAGTTTACTCCTGTCTTTCCCCTGTCTTTCAATCTGAAGGTAAAATGACATAATATTTTGCGGTAATATTCAGTTGCATAGGTGACATTGTGGATGTCTTTTGCTGGTCTGCAGGCGGCACCTGGAAATGCTCCCAAACCTACACCTGCCCCTTCCCAAAACACGCAACCTGCCATCATGAAGCCTACAGAAGAGCCTCCAGCTTATTCACAACACCAGACTCAGGTAATCCCATAACATCATCACTGCTATGCTCTGAGCCACAGCTGTATTTCTTTACTTTCACTGCAATAGATAAATAATTCATCACTCACTAATAGATAAATGTATATAGATATATTTATTGTAAGCCGCTTTTTCTTTAGCAGGGTTGCCAAAGATAATGGAGGACTCTATGTTCCCCCGCCCTGATCATGTGTTTTAATAATAGCACAATTTTACATAAGTCATTTTTTATTTGGCTTCGAATAAAGAAAGAACTTTGTTCTTCTCTCATTTGCAATCAAGTTAAGAGATAATGACCATTCATCTCATTAAGTTATGTCTCCTCTACAATTTAAACAATCATATTGTTCTTTTGCCTCTTAAGATGAATAAAGTCCTCCATAGTTAAAACCACATTGCAATGGTAATCATCTGATTATTTATTTAACTTAAAATCCTACATGTGTATCTTTTCACACAACAGAACCTCCATCTATTCATTTGATTAATTTTCCTTGTTGTTCTTTATATACTTTTGTGTTTTCTGATGACCCAGCCGCAACATAACGAGGTACAGTCTTTAATCTGATGTTTCTATTTATCACAGAACAGTGATTTAGGTTTATCGACTTCCCCTTTTTTTTTTACCTTTAATTATCAGATGTCGTTCTTAAAGATAGGTTAATACTAACAGAGATGTGCTTTTCTACTCCTTTTCCAAACTAACATAACATTTACCAAAATTAAAGATGGTGTAAATAATTGTATTATTTTAAGTAGGTTGCAGCTTTCAGGTGTGAATCATACAGGCTTTTCTCTGTCTTCCAGGACCAAGCTCGTGCTCAGGCTGAGTTGTTGAGAAGACAGGAGGAGCTGGAGAAGAAAGCTGCAGAACTTGATCGTCGGGAAAGAGAGTTGCAGTCCCATGGAGTTGCAGGAGGTTATTCAGATTTCCATCACTCATCCATTTATTTTCCTTGCAGCTGAAACTGCCCTTAGTGATCAGATCTTATTTCATTAAAGTTATTCAGCGTACAAGTAATTCTGCAATTAAAAAAATATTTACTTTGCTTTAGACTTGGGAAATAAGTTTAAATAACGCTCTCTATTAGGGGTACACATTCCTAAAATGTATCTTAGCTCTGTTTATTTAGACAAGTATCCTTAGCTTCTATTGATAATAAGCTTTTAGGTGATAAGAGATACATTGGTTATCACCCCCAAAATGTATTTAATAAGGTGTAATTTTGCCTGCATCTAAATCTCTGGTATAAGCAAGCTGTTAGAAACACCCCTGCTTCCATCTGATTCTGTTTAAAGTTTTTTTTAATCTGTTGGTTAATGATAATTGGTTCAATTATTCTCATACCAATAGTAGTTGAGTTATTCTCTATTTGAGTAATATCACTTGATCAACCTTTTTTAACATTACACACTACAAAATGAGTGGCAAAGGTATGATTTATTCTGATGTGATATCGATTAATATCAGTATCGTTAAATGCCTGAAGTTGCAATATTGGTATCGCATCAGAAATAAGAAAGTTGTATCAAAAAAACCCTACGTTGATCACATAGATTTAACGTGTTTAATCAGTTATTAGAAGCTATAAATTTCTAGAGCATGAGTTATCATGTTTTGTTTTTGTTTGGTTTGGTTTTTTGGGGGTCTATAAGGAGACTCATCACAGTCTGCCATGCACTTAAAAGAATTTGGTATTTAATTTAGTTTATTATAGTCCTAATTGTTACTCCAAATCTGTTATGATGTTCTATTAGTGAATATGTGTAGATTAGAAATGTATTCAGAAAAATTACAATCTAATTCAAAATATACATTTTCATTAACTGTACACTTCAGATAATTTTTTTTTCAGTTGCATTGCCATTACAAGAAAAAAAAGACAGGGTTGAATTAACATTTTGATTTTAAAACCAAACTAATTAAAAAGAATTTGCTGACTGAGCTGTTCATTGAAATTTAGCTGTATTTCGTCTATCTATGTTTGACCACCTCGATATCTCAGAAATAATGTTTGCTTAAAAAAAGCTAGAATTTTGTCTTTTAGAAATTTGAATAAAAGTTTTAGGTCTCATTCTTTTAAAACACATTAGTATTTATCCATCTATCCATTTTCTTCCGCCTTATCGGGGGCTGGGTCACGGAGGTAGCAGTCTAAGTGGAGATGCCCAGACTTCCACAAACAATGCCTCCAACTGCTCGGGGGGGACCCCGGGGCGACACCAGGCAAGCTCAGAGACATAGTCCCTCCAGCATGTCCAGGGCCTTCCACGAGGCCTCCTCCCAATAGAACATGCCTGGGACACCTCCCGAGGGAGGCAACCATGAGGCATCCGGAATAGATGCCCGAGCCACCTCAGCTGGTACCTTTCGACGTGGAGGAGCAACGACTCTACTCCGAGCTCCTCCCGGGTAACTGAGCTCCTCACCAGATCTCTTAAGGCTGGTTTATCCTCAGAAACCAGGTCGTCTGCCTGTGTGTCACAGTTATCTACATCCGTTCTACTCTATGCGTATTTCCTGTTTGGTACCTTACCGGCTTGTTTTGTTTGTTGAAGACCGAGGTGCGCGAGAACGTTGGGACCCTTTTTCCACCTGGATCCTGCTCTTTTTCACCCAGTTGTCTCTCCGTTTTCGCACAAACTTGCCCCTTGCGTTTTTCCACTTCCTCACCACCTCGGCCGTATCTAGACCCACAGCTAGTTCGTGATTGCCCCTCTTGCATTGTGGCATGGAATAACAGTGCAGACCACGCTTCAATATCGGGCATAAATCAAAAATATCTGCGTCATACCTGCGACACACTGCTGCGGGAGTATAACCAGCCTTTAAGGGTGTGCCCAGCCCCCCTGCGAAGGAAACTCATCTCGGCCGCTTGTATTCGCGATCTTGTCCTTTCGGCCATTACCCAGATTAGCCTTCATATGCCTCATAAATCATAAAATGAAATGTTATTTGACATAAAGTAATATTAATTATCAAAACACTGTCTGCTTTGCTCATACAGGCCGAAAGAACAACTGGCCTCCACTACCAGAAAAGTTTCCTGTTGGTCCATGTTTCTATCATGATATTGCTGTTGACATTCCTATAGAGTTCCAAAAGACCGTCAAGATCATGTACAACCTTTGGATGTGTAAGTTGACCATCAACCTCACCACAATACAGGATGTAAAAATTCAATTTAGTAACTTCCTTCAAAGTGTTCTTATACACATAGGGTTAAAACTAGTTCTAACAACTGAATAATGCTGTAAGTATATCTTACTCTTTTCAGTTCTTGCTAAAGTTTGTGTGATGTGACATACCAGTTCATGCAGGTACACTTTTTGTGAACATGTTTGGCTGCCTGGCATGGTTCATTGTGGATGCCAATCGTGGTGTGGATTTTGGCCTGTCCATGCTCTGGTTTCTTCTCTTCACCCCTTGTTCTTTCATCTGCTGGTACAGACCACTTTATGGGGCCTTCAGGTAAGCAAGATAATATGTCATAATACTTAATGTTTCAATATGAATTATTTCCTAACAGCTCCTGTCTTCTTCTCACTTCAGGAGTGACAGTTCGTTCCGCTTCTTTGTCTTCTTCTTCATCTACATTTGTCAGTTTGGAGTCCATGTTCTACAATCTATTGGCATAACAGGCTGGGGAACATGGTAAGTATGTTGTGCCATCACTGATCTGTCTCTCTGACTGTTTACAGAGTTCCTTAAAGCTGTCTTTGGTTTGGTTTTTGCCAGTGGCTGGATTGCAGCGCTAACTGGTCTAAACACCAGCATCCCAGTTGGCATCATCATGTTACTGATTGCAGCTCTCTTCACTGCGCTGTCCGTGGGCTCGCTCATAATGTTTAAAAAGGTAACAAGATTGCCATTTAGAATTGTCACACTGTTTAAAATATCTTCTTAATTAGGATTTTTTTTAGGTGTTTGGAAATTTAATCTCTATAAATCATAAAAGTTTTCATAAAAAATAAGTGATCAGCAAAGGGTCCTATATGTGACATCTAATACTTCAGAGTACTTCTCAAATATGCTAATTAAATGATAGACGAATCATCGTGGTAGCTTTCATTAAATGATTAAATGACACACAGATGGCAGCTAACGTCTCTGCAGACCCCACACACCCTGGACACAAAGTGTTTAGACTTTTACTTTAAGGTGCTAGGGACATTTACTTTCTCCAGTCTTTCTCTTTGATGAACATAAAATTAAGAGTCCCAAGATTACAAGAACAAACCTGTTATTTTAAAAGTGTTGTGCAGAGTGTGCTAAAAAAATATTTCATTCCACAGGTGGTTCATTTTAGATTATCTAAAAATCCAATTTTAAGCACAATGCACTTCTGTCTCTCTCTGGTTTCAGTTTCATTTCATTGTGGATAGCATGTAAAACATCCAGAGACTTATAACTGTGCTTATCTCTGCCTTTTCTAGGTTCATGCACTGTATCGAACCACTGGTGCCAGCTTTGAGAAGGCTCAACAGGAGTTTGCGACCGGCGTCATGTCAAACAAGACCGTTCAGACTGCAGCTGCCAACGCTGCTGCTAATGCTGCAACCAATGCTGCTCGCGGGGCCTTCAAACCTCATCCATAAACATGTTCCAGGCACAGATGCTCACGAATATAACAAAACACACACAAAAACAACTACATGGAGGCGCTGAACTCTGGTCCCGGTGCCTCTCAGATTCAATAGAGCATATTTATGAATGTTTCCCCTGCACATTTATCTTCTGAGGTGCGAAGCAAAATAACAGACGAGTTACCAGAGTCGATCATCTTCACCTAAAACCTAACATCAGTGAAGACACTATGGAATTCACCCTATCAGGTCACTGTCCTGTCATGTCAACAAAGCGATTAAAGCTGGGCTTTAAATGTGTGTAGTGAGCGATCTGATTCTGCACTGTTATCCACTTTGGTTCTTTCCTCGTCCTTTTGTGCCCTTTGAGACGATCCTAGATGAGGCAGATGACACAGACGCTCTAGCCCAATTTGTTGTGGTGATGACCTCCGAACAGCTACCCGCTGGATCAATTCAGTGTTAGAGTTATGAGTTGTTAGAATCTTTTTGCACACAGTTAATTTCATTTTCGCTTTTTTTTTTTTTTTTTACAGATGGATTTCAGTGCAATACTATATATTTTGAGCAAGTAATGGGACATTTAGGACTTAAAGGTAATGTTTGCTAGATGTAGCAAGGTGATAACATTCTTAATATATGAAAAAGCATTTCAAAATTATATTACTTAAGTCATGTCCCAGTTATAACTCTCAGTTCTGCTCTGTGTGCTTCTTTTGTTCGGCTGATTCAACTCCTTACCCTACCTATACAGCATGATGGCAATAGGCATGCTAAACAGAAATTACAGACAAAATCTTTGTTGCCATCTTCAACTTCATTTCCTTCTATCAGGCTCCACGGGTTGCTTGTTGGGGGAACATCTCCATTTTCTGCAAAAAAAAGTGTATTACTGTAATTCAAGTCGTGGTTGAAATATCCAGGTGTATTCAAAGTGGGTAAGTTCCAACAGAAACCAATGTACCCCTTCATTTTTTTTCGATGGCATTAACTCATTACTACAGTATGTGACCCTCAGTCGTTTTTGTATCTGTTCTCACTTGTTAGACAACTAACGCTGCTAATAACCTTAGAGTCGCTTGATCCTGGGCTCTTGCTTTCCTATTAGAAAAAAAGAAGAAAAAAAACAAGTATGGAGAGAACTGAAATGCCTTTTCTCTCAGGAGAATTTTTTTATTTTATTTCATAAGACTAACCTGCACATATGTTAAAATGAAAAAAGAAACCTGAAACTGTTTTCATGTACACTACATAGGCTAACAGTCCATCATTTGAGCTGATGTTTCTCTGTCTGTGTTGAATTACAGGCAGTAGAAAATTAGTACCCAGAATAAACCCTAAAAGAAGAGGGGACTGAACCTGATGCATACTCTGTGCCATCAACACGTCTTTATTCACACTAAAGTTGTACAGACTACTGTCACCAGAGTGAAACATGGATCTGCGTTTTTATCCTTCTGTCGTGCTTAGGCACTTCACATAGTGAACGTGATCGTCTGAAGATGTGCATGATAGATGAATGATAACCGCTGTGCAAAATATTAAATACTCCCAGAAGTAAATGTTAGAACATTGAGGTCTAAAATAAGCTCAAATCTTGGCAGTATTGCTTTTTGTTTGGAGTTATTTTTCTATACATGAAGCATTTCTCATTTTACATCAAAGTTAGTGCAAATAATGTGTTAATTTATGTTACGTTATTTAAGCTGTTTGCATTTTATTTTTTAATTTGCCTGTGTGATTTTTGTAATGACAAGGTTAACGCGACAGCTAGGCTGTAGAAATGTTTGACTTTGCAGATCAGCCCTGCAAACATGCGTGTGTTTTATGAGACTGAGTGTAAACGATTGGAATGGAAGAATTAATCTGAAGTGTTATTTTATGTCCTGAAAAGCTGTGATAAACTACCAAATGTTCATAGAACTGTTTTGTTTTATCCAGTCGTTGCTTTGTGATGTGCACCCTTCAGTTTTACCTTAAGTTATTACAATACTCTGCTACATAAACCCACATTATTACCATGTATTTATACTTTTTAAGTACTATATGAAGCCTTGCCACAGTGGGTAATTTTTTTAAGTGTTTGGCAAACTGGTTCTAATGTACAGAATAATCCGTTTTAGAAGTCTACTGACACAAAACAGTTTTCTTTTTTGTTTTTTTTTGTTTTTATTTGGGCCTGTGACAGTGTTATTCAACAGAATCAAATGGGTAAAGGGACACCTGTATATTTTGTAATGTTTGATCCTCATTATCAAACAAGTGTAAAAAGGTGATGCACTCCTGTCTGGCTTTTGTCGCATGTGAAATAGTTTCAGTTTTGTATATTTATGGTATTAACATTAAATAAAATTTGAAAGAAGTGATATTTGTTATTTCATTTTAGATGCATTTAAGTTCAGTTTGCAGACAAAGACTCCTTGTTCAGGAGTCTCCCATCCAGATCACTTTAAAAGCCTTAGCTGAACTTTACCACCATTAGGGAAACAATTTCTTTAAAAATTTCTGTTTAAAATACTGTTGAGGATCATCTTTAGGTCTTAACCATATAAACGCTTTTTGAAGGATAAAATGCGTGGAACTGGGAGGAATTTATATACTCATCTGGTACATAACTATTTATGGATCAATGCTTCTATAAGTTTTTTCGTATGTCTGGTTTGATCTCCTTTAACCCACAGCCAGAGGCAGTTTGCACTGTACCTGGTTCTGCTGGAGGTTTCTTTCTGTTAAAAGGGAGTTCTTGCTCATCACTGTCACTGCATGCATGCTCGGTGGGAGTGACTGTTCTAGAGTCAATGGAATAATGAAAGTAAAAATCTACTGTTGCCTGCTGCTCATCAGAGAGGAATGAATTCTGTAAAGCCACTAACTCAATTGGTTTCATTAGAAAATCTTTAACTAATCTGACTGTATGATCTGAATGAATCGTGTCTATAAAGTGTCATGAGATGATGTGATTTGAATTAGCACTATGTAAATAAACTGAATTGAATGTAAATAATTTCTTTATATTTACTGCAGAATTTCCTTCATGAAAAAGTTGTGTATTCCTAAATGTTTATTTACATGTGGACATTTATTTTTCCTCAACATCGTTGAACAAAAAAAAAAAAAGCAGTTTCAAGTTTAACAAGATTCAAAACTTGGACACAAAATCTAAAAAAACAAATCACTGTGTACCTTTTGCATATTTGCCATGCTGCTGTTAAAATTAAAGGTTATTTCAAATAATATCAGTGAAAGACGTCCAAACGCACACCGCTGCAAACAGACTCATATAAAATATGGATTTTGAAATCTGTATTAAGTGCATAAGTAACGTCTGTCTTAGTGCTTTTAAAAAACAGCTTGAAATTTTAACATAAACGTGTAGGACCCTTGCAGTCCTGTGCAACAATCCTTTGTCACTAGGTGTCAGTGTCTCCTCAGAAACTTCCGAGTACATGTCAAACTGCAGTTTATACACAATTTTTATTTTGCAGAAGACAAGAAATTAATTTTACATAATTGATCCCTTTCTATTTATCAGTCTCATAACTGCTTTAGTCACTGAGGTAAAATATTTTGGGGTGAACCTGGATTCAAACTAAAATTTCAAGATGCTTGTTAAGTTTATTACTGAGTTCAACCTTTATTATAAACTTTAAACATAATAGAAAGTTTAGCTAAGACATTCATGCATGCACTTTACTTTCCAATATTCTGTGTCATCTGTTGGAGAAACAGGTGACGGCTATTTGTGTTGGTCCAAATAGACTCTTATACTGCTTGAAAAAAAACATTGTACTGTAATCACTTGTATCAGAAAAAAATTAATTTTTTGAGCTTTGAAACTTGTAAATATTTTAAATCTGTATCTTTTATAAAATAGTAAACACTCTGGTCCCTCCACTACTATCTGATTTTGTCTATATTTATCCTTTGAAGTTGATTCAAACAGTTACATTTCAGTTCAGAAATACTTTATGATCCCAAAGGTAAATCAAATGATGTCGTAACTCATAGTTAAGTTTTTTCAATGTGTTGTTTCATATAGTAATAGCAGTAAGCAGGTCTTTGTAGATCTTCTGTAGCAGTCTGTCTTGTACCAGAGCTGTCAGAGATCCTACAATTCTACCGTACTGTCATCCAGCATGCTGCATTTTTTTTTATCCCATCTAAAAACTGTCATCATTGACTATATGCAGACACGCATACAGTGAGGACCATTTTTCCAATTTCAGCATCAAATTGAGGACCTGCTGTTGTATAAGTGAGAAAATTTTGCTGGTTTGCATGAACTGATATGAAAGACGTTCGGTTTAGGGCAAAAGTGTAAAATGGGGTTCAGGGTGGAGTATTTGGAGTATGGGTAGTTGCTTGTAATACCTGTTTAGGATTGTTTTTGGGTAAGCTTATGACCTTCCTGAGGACCAACGGGCCTTGTTGGGACCAGAGGCTAGTTCTAATGTGATGCGCCCCCCACCCAATTTTAATCTTAGGGAGTCAATTTAATGGAATGGTGAAAATTAACTTTGGGTTAAAGAAATGTACTGGTAAAGGTTAGGCTTAGGGTACATGTCAGGCTTAGGTACAAATGTAGTAACTTCAATGAATATAAGTCAAAGTGAAGTCTTATTATGCATACAAATACAAACTTGTGTGTGTGTGTGTTCTTGTTTATGTTACCTATTGTGTGATGTAAATAGAGATTATGTTTTGTTCTGTTGTTTTATTTATCTCTTTTTAAGACAGGGATGTATCATATGCTATAATCTGAAAAAATTGCATCAAATGGCATTAATGTTTGAGCTATGCACTGTCACCTTTTAAATAAAGTTTTATTATTATGAGCAATATAAGCATGCATCACATGTGCTGCTGTTCATTTGTTAATGTAACAAAAATATACTTTAAGAAACACTAGATAATCCTCCTTGAAGCAAATTCATTTCCCTTGTAGTTTCAATCATTCCCATCAGTCAGCAAAATAATTAAGTGTATTATTGCACATAAGACACAAATTATTAATGAAGAAAAGCACAGAAAACTTGAATTATAACAGTTGCAGTCAAGCTTGGAGCATGAATTATGGAAAAATATTCTCTAAAAAAAATTATGCTGCTTTAAAAGAGTTAAATTTAAGTGCAAAATGCTGCCAAAGGTGCTGTATGGAACAGAAATACTATGAAAAAGCAAAGATATGAAATAGATATCCACCTTGACGAAGTAACACTGAAATGTGAGCAAACCTAGAAATGTATGCATCAAAAGCAAAATCAATAGAAGCAAAAATCACATAATGGGAACTGGAACAATAAAATGTGTGGCCAGTAAAGCTTATTCGACAGGTTTCATTCTCAAACCCAGTCACACATAACCAATTAATAAAGAAAACTCAAATCTCAGCTTTTGTGCAGCAAAGTTAGGACAAAAAATGTAAAAAAAAAAAAAAAACATAGCGATTGAAATATTATAACAAGATTATTTCTGGTGCTTATCTAAAACAGTACTCTAGGGCAAAAGTTATCATGAATCTCGATGTAAGATTCCTGGTTCAAGAAATGTAATTTCAGCAAAATATGTTTTTTGGCAAATAGCATTAATAAGAATCTGCTAGTGGTTTGCTGGTTGAAAATATCTGGAATTTTGCTCACTCTTCCAAAAACATTTTTGAAAACCATTCAGAAGTCTTTTTAATTTCTGTAGCTTGTTTTGTGGTGGTCGTGTTGATTGAAATCTTGCAAACATCCATAATACAAGCAATGCTACTTATACATAAGTGACATATCCACAACTTATTTCTTTAATCTACTTTTCATTTTTTAAGGATTGTAAAATGACAACAAAAATAAATTTGTACAAAAAAATGAATGTGTAACCTCCTGATCTATAACAATTTTAGAAATGTCACATAATATTGATAGAAAAATAGAAATTTTTCTACTTAATATCACAAGCTTTTTTTTTTTTTTGTAACACTCTTTTATCCAGAATGGGAAAACCCTGAGGGAAGTCCTTCTCTTCCTTCCATTCATATCTACAAGTGTGCACACCCTGAAAATTCCGCCAAAGGTGATTTCCTGCTCTTCCTGGACATTTCTTTAAGGCTCAAAACAGACAGATAAGGCTTTTCCCCTCCTCGATCTCCTCCTGAACCTTATCGCTGGATGTGGCGATCTCGGCCTGTGCAGACAAGACAGAGCAAAGAAAAGTTGCAAGCGTTCCTCCTATCGCTGCGTAGAAGGCCCAGCCAAGTGAGCACAGGGCAGGCCTGAAGGGCGAGGCCTCCTTTCCACAGAACTGCATCACCTTTTCCGAACCCCAGCCTGCAGGGTACAGCATCAGGCCAACTATGAGCAGCAGGCCTAGGGTGAGAGAAGGGATCATGCATTGAGCTGATTGTTTTTGTTATAGATAGATGTATTTATTTTAAAAGTACACTTGAAGTAAAAAAAAACTTTGCTTGAGTAGATAAATATATATGAAATTTGTGATCACTGTAAAATGTAAAAATAGATTTATAGAAATGCATATATATTCATGCTTGTTGCCCTTAAGTGGGGTATGTATATATGTGTAGGGGCATGCATGTGTTCTAGAGATATGATGTGTGTGTGTGTGTGTGTGTGTGTGTGTGTGTGTGTGTGTGTGTGTGTGTGTGTGCGTGTGTGTGTGTGTTAGTGTGTGTGTGTGTGTGTAGCTTCACAGTCCATTTGCAAGCTTCACAGCTGTTTGAAGGAAATGCTGGTATGAATGAGTTTGGATGTTTAAGGTTAAGGTCCTGATATAATAATAAACACTCACTTGGAGGTGTGAGAAACATCTCATTTTAGACTTCGCCCTTGGAGAAATGTAGTGCAACTAGGTTGTGAAACTAGATATTGCAGCTTGCAGAGTTACGTAAAAGGAGTAGCTTGATGCGCTGACCACAGCAACAAGTCAGCTGTCATCATCTTTTTATGTTTTCAGTTCCACTTTGATTTGTGTTATTATGTGTTTTCTTGTTCATTGGTTCAATCGGTAGAATTATTAAACGACATGGGGTAATTTAACACATTAATTAAATTAAATTTAAATTAATTATAATAAAGTCAAAAATCTTGGAGTTATTTTTGATCAGGACCTGTCATTTAAATTCCATATCAAAAAGGTTTCTAAAATGTCCTTTCATCTGGACAATGTTTAAAAAAAATAGAAATATCCTGTCCAGGGGTGATGCTGAGAAACTAGTCCGTGCATTTGTTACTTCAGGGCTGCACTATTGTAATTTTTTACTATCAGGTAGTCCACATACGTAGTTAAAAGCCTTCAGCTGATCGAAAATGCTGCAGCCAGAGTTCTGATAAAAATTAAAAAGATAGACATATCTCTCCTGTTTTAGCTTCTCTTCATTGGCTTCCTGTTAAATCCAGAATAGAATTTAAAATCCTCCTTCTCACATATAGAGCCTTAAATGGCCAAGCTCCATCTTAGATCAGAGATATGATTGTTCTTTATGTTCCTAACAGAGCACTTTGCTCTCAATCTACAGGTTTACTAGTGGTTCCTAGAATTTCTAAAAGTAGAATGGGAGGCAGATCTTTTAGTTATCAGGCTCCTCTCCTGTGGAACCAACTAACAGTTTTAGTCCGTGAGGCAGACACCCTGTCTACTTCTAAGGGTAGGCTTAAACTTTTCTTTTTTGATAAAGCTTATAGTTAGAGTGGCTCAGGTTATCCTGAGTTATTTCTATAGTTAGCCTGCTATAGACTTAGACTTCTGGAGGACATCGGGACCCCTTTTTCATCATTCTGCTTCATTCTATCTCTATTTTCCCACTCTGCTGAATCTGTTATTTCAATCTCATTATGCTCTTTCTGCTTTTTCTCATAGTAGCTTTACCTTATCTGTTCCTATTTGGCTGTGACACCATCCTGGCCTTTCGTATCTTTGCTTCTGTCTCCTTGAACACAAGTTGGCCTCTGCAGATGGCCGCTCACACTGAGTCTGGTTCTGCTGGAGGTTTCTTCCTGTTAAAAGGGAGTTTTTCCTCTCAAAACTTGCTACAAGCATGCTTAGTGTGAGGGATTGCCAGTAATTGAGTCGATGCAATCAACTGGTTTTCCTTAGATAGAAAACTTTGAATCAATTTGACTTTATGATCTGGTAAACTGTAAAATGCCTTGAGATGATGTGTTGTGAATTGGCGCTATAGAAATAAACTGAATTGAAGAGAGAATTTTCCAATTAGGCAGTCTTGTATTTTTTTAGTTGCTCTTTATTCCCCCCGTGTGCTGTTCTCCTTTTCCTTAGTTCCTTGTGGTTACTTCTGTCTACACCTGCTCCCTATTATATAATTAGTCCTCACATATCCCATTTCTGTCTCCCATATATACACCATGTATATGGAGTATATATACTGTAAAAGAAACCAAAAACCTGTTTTTTGATTTCCTGTATTTTGTTTCTGTTACCTTTTTTCATTAAATCAGCAACACTCATCTCTCCCTCCTCGCCTCTGCATTGTGGTCCTTAATCAACCTTCACCCCACCTTGACAAAAATTATTTTTAATGTTTGCCATTTCTATCTCTCCCTTTTCTCTTAGCCATCATAACATCAATCATGGATGAACTTAGAACATGAAAACACAGCTAAAAAAATGATTATGGTAACTGGAGTTTAGCAAACATTCATTGCAAACCAAAAGTCCCTCCCATGAAAGTGTTATGATTTTTATAAATAGAAATTTTGTGGCTTTGTTTTTTCTATTTTTAATCAATTTTCAGCCATTGTTAAAAAGCTTTGCAACTGCAATTTTGCATTTAAAAAAAACCATACAGTACTTTAAAGAAGCATGTAATATTTCAGGGGATAGTCTGGTGCACCAGAAACGAAAGTATTACCACTAAACATCACAAAATAAAAAATATGGTTAGAATTGTTTTTCAGCAGTTTCCCTGCAATGCAATTATTCCCAAGAAGGGGTATCTTGGCTCTGCAGTGAGTTGGTGTGATCCATGAAACTTCCTATGAATCTCCAAATAGATAAAACAATGCTTTCTAGTTAATTAATGTTGTGAAAACATTTTCTGGGATTTTAATGTGACAGTTTATCATCTAAAACAAGAGCATTTTCAGAGCCCAGTCAACTGCTTATATTATGTTTTTGCAAGTATGATGTCTCTTAATCTCAGTGCTTTAGTAATGCAGCCATTGGATTTAGAAGTAAGAAATAATTATATATTTCCTTTAAATATCTTCCTGTGGTTTTATTCTCTGGAGTTTAAACTCTTTAATAAAATCCACGAGAATACTTTCAAACTAACAAGACCTCACTTGAGGTGTGGAGGCACCCAGCACTCTCCCACCCCCACCTTTTGCTAAACCCTGGCTGTGAGTCAGCTAAAAACAAGTAACAACTTTTCCCTCGCCTGCATGAAGGACAAAAATATATTAAAATTACAGTTGAGAATCCAAAAGAAGATATTCAATAAAAAGCTCTCTGCAAGCTCTTTTTATTATAGATTTATGCATTAAAATCTAAATACTATTATATATATCGCTATACAATATTAGACTAATTCTAATAATCTACATCTTATTTCAGGTATATTTTATTCAGTTTTAAACTAAAGTATTAAGATTATGCTGTGTGTATTGTTTGAAAATATAGTGATAATAAAGTTAATCTGTAGAATTTTTTTGTGATCACTTTTCAATAAATTTTCATTAGATACTGCCCACAAATACAGAGCTGTTCCGAGTTACAAAGAAACATTGCATATTTACCTCCAATAGCCTGGAGCAGTCCACAGATATTGAATAGGCTCTTCTTCTTGATGCTTTGAAAACACAACGTGAAGATGGAGATGCAAGCGACACACCCGAGCACCAGTGTCCCAGCAGCCAGAAACAACATGGCGGCCTGCCAGAATTTACTGGCCACTTCCTCAAATGTGTCTGTGTACGGCCCACAGCTGACCCCAACTCCATAGGCCCCGATGGGAAGGCAGCGGCTGTAGAGGCCAAGAGATGACCGGTACCCCCTTACATCCAATTCTCCCTTGTTTACATCTGGCTCCGACTTTGGGTGTCCCAGAAGCCAGTCGGGGCTCATGAAGGCGACAAGCTCCACAAAGGCTACTATGATACTGAGCAGGGTCCACAGCAGGGAGCGGCATGTTACAATAACATGACACATATTTTTTTACCTCTGAGAAGGTAAGCACCAGTTCAAAAAATGGCGTAAAACCTCGTAAGAATTCCTCTCTGTCTAAACAAAACGGTCAGGGAGGTTCCCTGCTTAAACCAAGATGGACTGAAGATCCTCGCAGAGCAGATCTTGGTCCCTTCTATCATCTATGTTTTCCTTTTCAGAGTTTCCCTCCACCCTTGGAGACGAGATGGTCATCTGAAGAACTTACACAGCTTCATTTAGCTGTAGTATTGCCTGGAAAACGAAGAAGGAGAGATATAAGAAAATATCAATCAAAATGTTCCCATGCTCTAGTAATCATCAAGTTTTCATCCACTGGTCCTCATTATGCTCTTTTCATTTCCTTACTACCAACCAAACTACCTTAGACGCTACTTCAGACCATCAGCCAGCTGTGAGCATAACATGAGCAATAATCCCAGATGGTTCTCAGAACAGTCATGATGAATCACACACACATAACTTGTTGAAATGACACAGTTAATCTTATCATATCCTCAGACCTCTCTGTGCTGAATTTATGCCGGGACACAACAGGAGACTTGTGTGAGCAGCTGTCAGCACAGATCAGAGCAGAGCTTTGTTACAGCATGCCACATCTGACAGCAACAGAAAAACATGCAAGCAGCAGATACTGCTTAGATAGAGTGGAGTGTTTCTGTTAGCGTCTCAAAGGCCATACATGATGAGCTCTATCTATCAGAGCCCTCCTATGTGAAAACAGCTTATATTTATTTCAGCATGAGTCACTGAATTTCACTGGAAGCACTTTTAATACTGTTGCAGTGTTATAATTTAGCTGCCAATTCATTATGATGACATAAAGCAAGAAAACAAAAACAAAACACTTTTAGTATCTTGTTTATAGAGTGCCTTATTGGTTTAAGTTTGGCTGTTTTAGTTGGTCCGGAGAGGTCTCAGTAGGTCTCAGTTTCATAAAAAACATGTTAGTTTGCATTTCTAAACTTATTGACATTAAAGTTAAGGAGTCTACCCAATGCATACCACCAGCATATGAGTCTGCTTCGGCATTTAAAGAGGTCTCTAAATGATTTGATATTAACTATGCCATTGTACAGAAAATGGTCTACAAGTAAAAGACATTCATAACAACTTCCAATAATCCAAAACATGTAAAACATCATTAGAAGACCTGCAACAGGTTATCTGGGCATAAAGGTCAGAATTTGTTTTCTAGAGAGCATATGAACCAAAACCTGGACATTTTGGATAATATTCCTTGGAGAGATGAGTACAACATAGCATTATGTTAATACCAGAGTAGAGAAAATGTTTAGCATAATATTGTCGAGCACTCAGAACGTAGGACCCAGAATTCAAGCAGACAGATCAGGATAATTTCAAAACAAGCATTTATTAAAATGTTAACATATGGCTGCTTGTCAGCTGGGGCCAGCTCACTGGATACTCTGGTAAAGTTCAGTCTCACCCCAGAGGAAGGAGTTAAGTCCAGAGGTATATTTTCTCTGTAGCTTGCAACGAAGCCGCTTCCAGAGTCCCAGGACATAAGTGGAGCAGAACAGACGCAATCGAAACCCAGAAGTCCCGGGAGCAGAAACTAGTCAAGATCAGATTATCAGAAAATCACAAGAAGGCTAGAAAACACTGCGATCGTTAGTTTCTCTTATTTCATATATTAATATTTGCTATTTACTCACTATAAAAGTTTTCACTCAGCCTGGTTCACCTGCAAGGCCACACAATTCCCCTGTGTGAGGGTGTTTTTAGACAAGATATACATTCTTCTCATAACAAACCAGATTCTTTCTCAAGGCTTATTCATAACATGTTACTGTTTAACCACAACTTTCCATTATTGTAAGAAAGGGGGAATAGATGCTGCTCAGGTAGAACAGGGCTGATTACCAAGCAATAAGGGCTGTATGATGAACTGTTCTCTCTTTGCAAAGATCATGACAAAGTGCCGACCGTTCTCCATTTATTTAACTGGAGCAAATAGTTGAACACTTTTTTCCCACTTCAACTCTCACACTTGGCTCGAATACTCTGGTACCAATGGATGGGAACAGGTAGCTTAAATAGCAGAAGGAACAGGTGGATCTAACGAGAGACAATGAGCACTGGGCATAGCTAAGCAGATGTGGAAAAGCAAGCTTAATCCAGCTATTAATGCCAAGACCATGGCAATATACTGTTCAAGGGAATATACTACATACAACCTTTGAAGTGTGGTGTATTACTTTCTACAACAGAACCTGGCCAACTCACCATCACAGAATCCACCATGAAACATACTGGGTTACAAAGGGAGCTTAAGGAAAATGTAGGACCATCTGGAAAATAATAAAGCTGGACTAGAGGTGGACCCTGAGAAATAACAATGACAACACATCGTATTACTTAAAGTGGGTTTATGACTATAATACAATTCTATTTCCTTACTTATTGGGTCATCTTACTTTTGATAAAGATTTCAGCACTTAACATTTATGAAGAGCTATGAATCACTCAGACTGGTTTGTCTGAGTCTGAGTCAGTCTCTAAAGTGCCTTTAGACGCAATATGTTGTGAATTGATGCTATATAAATAGTATTGAGTTGAATGACTGCAGCAGTATGCCAAGTTAAACCAGGAAGAATAAGCAGCAGCTTTTCATTTTGTCTGATAACATCTGAGTCACTTACAGGGAATCCACCTCTGGATTTCACTGCCCACAAAGTAACAGTGTTATCTATTTTGTTTTCAAATGGAGGGCTGATGTTTTTTCCTCTAAACATAGGAAAGAGTAGAAAACAAAATAAAAGGTTCCACTGAGCAAATAAAGAAATATGTCAAAATCAGAGATTAGGGCATGCAACTTGAGATGCAACTAGGATTTATTCTGTTAGGATGCAGTTTTTTCTGTAGTACATGGTTGTCTGCTATTTCATCCTCTCTGCTTGTCTAAAGCTAAATATCAGGAATCTTTTGTAAATTCAACATTTCTTTCTCTCAATTTACTTCTTTACCACTCCTAATTAGAGATTACATGAAACCTCAGCCAAAGTACTCTGTCTAGTGTCTACACATAATTACTAAGCCAGCTTGCAGATTGACAGTGGGAGTAAATTTCAGTTAAGTTCATGCCAAGCCAATTGGTACACAATATATAATACATTGCCTATGTCACTGTTCACTGTTTGTCACTTTGGAAACAGCAGCAATAAATAGGAAACAAACAGGAACAATCAGTAATTCTCCCCATGAGTTCTATCCTGAAGTCATCATCCTTTTAATGCAAACCTTCTATTGAGAAAAATCTCCACAATGCATACAAGGGAAATCCAACAAGCCAGATTTAAACTTATAGTACTTAAAGAGAACTGTGTCCAAAATTAAAAAAAAAATCGACCAACAGTATAATATGGTACCCGAGTCATGATTATGTGGCACAGGACAATTTGTGGAGTGCCCCATGCTATTACAATACTTTTATTTGTTTATTTTAGGCATCTTCACATACGTTAGCTGCTCTTATATTTATCGGTTTCCCCTTTGCAACAATGGTTTTACACAACAGCTAAACCACAATCTATCCCAGCCATTCAGACATCTCTAGTAATGACTGGTTATAAAACATTTAGATTTTACATAAAAACATATTTGTTTCTGAGTTTACCTTGTGCAGTATGAGTCTTTAGTTTGCTGCTGATTATAGTTTATTCAACCAGAGTGCTGCGCTTTCTGTTAAGACTACAGTGCCCACAAATTAGCAGCTCTTTCACTTCAAACTACACAGACGGAGCCATAAAATACATTTTTGGAAGGCAATTAGCAGGCTCCTTTTGTGTAGCCCTCAACTATAATAGAAAATTGTCTCTTTCTTACCGCATTGTGGCTCCCTTGTCTTTTCAGAGAATTTATTTTGAAGTGCTATGAAACCTTTAAACTACTTCTTTTGGGTTTAGAGGGATATTTTGAAGTAATATGGGAAAAGCAGGTGGATTAATCTACTGGCCAAACCTGCTACTTAATCTTATTTTTCTTTCTATCTTGCTAAATACTGTCAATTGGAGTACCTAAAAATTCTTATTCACTTTTTAAAAAGGTTCATAGTGTAAAATTACAACCCCATTTATGTATAGAAAGTATGTGTCCTCCTTTGAAGTATATGTACTTCTTTGACTTCAAGAATTGCCTTTTAAAGTTTGTATGATAGATTTCTCTGGACATGTGCCCATATTGACATGAAAACCTTATACCGTATATATGCTGCCAGGTAAACATTTGCATTGCAAAATAATAAAAAATAAATAAATTAGCCAGTTTTTCTTAAAATAAGTGCAGTTTTTTTTCTTGAGTTGAGGAGGTAAATGA